TTATCTACCTTTTTTAAATTTAAATAGTTCAAACTTAGCATATGGTGCTTGGCAATATTAATGAAAGGTGTGGGTCACCTTTGATAATGCCCTTAATCACTTCTCAGCACTGCAGTCTGATCTTTGAGATGAATGACTTTATGTTCTTATGAATGTCAACTACACCGTTGCTTTCGTCCACAGACACAGAACCAGTGACTTCTGGGATATAGGCATATAGGATTGCAGAGTCAAACAGCCTCACTCCCTTGCCTCTCTCTCCCTCCTACTTGCCAGACACAATCCCAGCAGGTGCTCAACCCAATTCTATGTCTGTTCTATTGCTCGAGTTGAACACGGCTGCAAAGAAAACACACAACCCGAGAGATCCATGGCTCTCAAAATTCACAACCAAAATACCCGATGGGGCCAGGATGCTGTGGGGTCAAGCTACATTTCCCTGGTCCCGACATTCTCCCTGTCTCTACATTAATTGTAGTGCCTTGCGCTCCCTATTCTCCTCTCCCTCCTCTCCTTCCACACTGATGTTTGCTGATGACCTCCTCTATTCTTTTCTTTATAAAGAAACTATCTACAGAAAAGCACCTGATCAGCCCAGAAGAAAATGCTCCATCCTACCCATGTATGTGCCCATATGCTCTGTCTTCCCTCCTGCTATGCAGGGAGAAGGTGGCCATGTCCGAAAGCCGAGCTCTTTATTTGTGCACTGAATCTCATCACCTTTGTCCTGATTCCCCCAGAGATTCCCCCCGCCTTTTTTTCCCTGCAAAAGCTTACTTGTTTGGAGCTCTCCCTAGCTCCCCCTGCCCCTTTTTAAGAATCTACCAGTGTTGTTAAGAATGGCCTCGCAGCTTTTACTTGGTGTGTCTACTCCTTACCATGGATGCCCAATTCATTAGCAAGTCCTCCCTAGTTCTACCTGCATGATATATCTTAGGATGTATGCTTCATATGAGGCATCTAGAAGAGGCGGATTCACAAAGATACAAAGCAGAGTAGTGGTTACCAGAGGCTGAAGGGAGGGAGGAAAGGGGAGTTAGTGTTAATGGGCACAGAATTTAAGTGTGGAATGATGAAAATGTTCTGGGGATGGACGGTGGTGACGGTCACACAACAATGCATATGTACTTAATGTCACTGAACTGTATACTTAAAAATGGTGCAAATGGTAAATTTTATCTTATATATATTTTACATTTTTTAAAAAGCCCAGTTAAGAAGATATCTATGCATATATTTGAATCCGACCACATTTTACTTCCCCTCTTGCTGCCATTCTATTTCAAAGCGTGCTCATTCCCACCTGCATTATTCCTCCCAAAACATCTCCCTGCTGGACAGCTTGCTCCCACCTCAGTCTGGTCTCTGCACACAGCAGCAGAGTGAGGTTCTAAACTGGAAAGGAGATCCTGTAATGTGCCAGATCACAATTCTGTTAGAATAAAACCCAGCTCTCTACAAATGCCTTGCTCTTTCTCGAACACCCAGGGCTTTCGTCCCTACTTTCGCTCCCTTCCAGAATCGTCTCCCCGCAGTGGGCTCCCTGACTTCATTCAGGTCTCTGCTTCCATGTCACCTCCTCACAGCAGCTTCTCAATGCACAGGCGCGTGTGCATGCAAACCCACCCATGCAGGTCTGGTCCTATACCTTCCTCTGCTCTCTTTTTCTTAACAGTTCTTTTTACTACCAGACATCACGTATTTATTTGTTTCCTTATTTAACCTATTACTCAACCCCTCTGCAGTTAAAGTCAATGAACTGTCGACAGCTGCTTTTCCAGACCTCAGCCATGACTGGTCTGTAATGGGAGTTCAAGAACTATCTATATCCTAAAAGGCTGTGCACATGAAATTTGAAGTTTAGCAAGTGGCCGGTGGAAAAGTGTTCCAAAGCAGGTCACTGCTCATGTCCAAAAGGGTTCTCCTTTAAAAACAAAGACCCTCAGGAACCAGTGACAATACTTGAGAAGGGACAGCTGACACCAGGAATGAGTTGGGGGCAGGGAAGAGAAGAGATAATGGAGGCCAGGGTGCAGAGACAAATGGAAGAGACTGGTATTTGTGACACATTATCATCAATGATTGTCATTTAGATGAGAAAGGGTTGAAAGTTCTCCCGAGCAAGACTCACTTAATATTTAAGGAAAATATCCTTCAGAAGATTATGTCACTTAAGTCAGAAACAGACTTGTTGAAAGGCTACTGTGGTAGGCAGGTCACCCCCAAGTGATGAGGAGGAAAGGCACTTTAATGAGAAACACGCGGAGGGCATTCAGCATGGGACTTTTAGTGACAAATCAGAGACAGCCCCAGGCACCTGGGACAAGGTGATGACCCTCTCAGATTCAGCTCAGGGACAGAACTGGTGTGAAAGCTAACTCCCGGTGTTTCTCACTACAGTTTGTGGGCAAACTGCGACCCTGAGCCTTTCTACCTCCTGTGACCTCAGAGACCTCCTCTGGGTGTCTTTAACCTCCGCCTCCCATGTAATTATTTTTATTCAATGGGAACCTATGGGTTTCTGCAAATCCTCAAGTAAGTATCTCAAAGCAGGGAGGAAAGTTATGTTTATAAATTACAATACATCCAATGACCATGTGGCTCCCCTGCCCCCAACCCTCATTCCAGCTCCCTTCACCCAACCCACTTGGGGGGTTCACCCCTTACCTCAGACCTAATCCTACTTGTGGACTTGGAGCAGTTTGAGAGTCTCTGGCCTGCTTCTCTGACCTTGTGCCTCAGCTTTGCACCTGGTGCATGCTTCTCCCCTACTTTTTGCCCTAGACCCTTGACTGGGTCCCCACTTGTCAATGTTTCTGTGTGCTGCTACCTGCCTTGGTAAGCTAGTGAGGGTCCACAATCTCTCTGAATGGCGTGAGGCGTGTGCAGGGGGTCCCGGCTCTTCCAGCATCCCTGACATCCTGACCCGCCTTGGCCTGCTCTTTGACGCCATGTTTCTGGGCTTTGCGCCTCATTGTGGCCAAGTCACTGTAAGGGAGCCTCTCTGGGTCCCCCCGTAGGCCATTCACACGGAGAGCACTTCTGGGAGCTTTACGAGAAAGGTAACCCCACAAAAAGATAAATTACAAAAAGATGTTCCCTCTAAGATGACCAGTTAGGAAAACAGCACCCTATCCTTAGGCAGCCTGTAAGGCATGGAGCTTGGCAGACAGAACTTGGCAGGTTTGCCCCCGCCCCCCAGCACCCCCGAGCTGGGTGTATAACTTACACCACCATGTACCTAGTTCTCCTCCTCATCACTGACTAACCGGCCCAGCTGCCACCGGTGCCCGACCCCATGACAGGTTTCCTGGTCTGGACAGGTTTTGCCTCATCGGATCCCTGAATCTGACTCTGAATTTGCTCTTTGTCTATCCTGCTCCCATCCTGTGTCTTTCAGGTCATTCCCACTGAGGTTCTCATTCTTAATCTGACGGTGTATAAGAAGTCAAAATCTAAGGAGATATCACTCATAACATTTGACCTTTCTATCCACTACTGTAATACAATTCAATTTTAGTATTACAAAACCTACTACCCATTGGTTAGAGTGCTTTGTTACACTTGATCTCTGCTGATTTCTAGATCGATTTTCTAGTCCTTTCTACCCCCCCCCCCCCCCCCCCCCCCCCCCCCCCCGCCAAAAGACGTCTAGCTTGGGATAATCCTGTTTTCTCTTTCCAAAGACAGCTGGGGATTCTAGGATAGAAGACAGTTTCCTAATACAAGTTGGACTTCAGGCCTAGGCCAAAAGGTACTATTCTAGACACCCCTGTGGAAAAGACAAAACAGGAGTAGCTCCTAAGCGTTGGGACAGCAACAAGTGTGAGAGAGAGAAGGTGTGATCTGACAGGGCGAACATTCCAGTTCTGGAAGGAACGTGGTTCTGGCAAGGAAACCCCCCGCCCCAGACAGATACAGAGAAAAGACCAGGGGGTAACCATTCAGACAGGCTGAATCACAGCACACTGAGAGTCTGGAAACTTATCCAGCCAAAGAGAATCGTTTGTTATTTAGAACTGCAGGCTCTGAAAGTTGATCAATTCGATCCAAGTTGCCCTGATGAGACAAACAATTACCCCTAAAGTCTGAGCTTGCCACGAATCCTCCTCAACGTTTGCTTTGTGGAAACAAACTAAAATATTGTGAGGAGACATGGTAGATGACTTTCCTACCTCTGCTACATTTACACGCAAGCTACTTAGTGATTTGGGGAGCACTGCTGTTTTCACAGTGTTACCTTTTCACAGTTAATTGTGGGCACACTAAATACAGCATAGAACACACGAGTACTTAAGAGGTAATTTCAGTAAACCCACCATAGATACGGATTATGTAGTATGCATAAACATGCACATAAATCTAAACATATATATTTAAAGACAATGAATAAATACACAGAATTAAGACACAGAACTAAAGTTTATGAAAATGGGTACACAGAGTACTTTTGTTTGGAGAATGCCAGTTGTCTTGAAATTCCTAAGCATAGGCAGATCTATACTATGATATATATAGTGTGTATATAGTGTATATATAGTGTCTATATACACACTATATAGATATACATATCTATATACACACTAAGATATATATCATATATATATATGATATATATTTGTAATTTCTGGCCAACAACAACAAAAAAACAAATAGAACCAATTTCTCCAGGGTGCCTTTCCTCCTAGAGTACTGTGTAAAGGATGTAGGAAAAGTCTGGAAAGAAAAATGTGTCTGCATGCATACACCCTAGATGGGGTTGAGTTTCTCATGTCTGACAAATGAGCGCTAATCCACTAATCATGTAATCCCTCGTCTTTCACGTCCAGTCCCCTGCCCCCGGATGACTTCCTCGGGTTCTAACCACTAGCCCTGCAGACACATAATGGTCCCTGTTTGACACTTGCTCGAGTTCTTATAATATTGCCACATGGTACACTTGTAGTTACTTTCCACAGGCTTCCCATGAGGCCCAGCAGTGGGAAGAGCAGCCTACTTACTTGTGTTTATCTTCTGGAGAGAAATGTGCTTTTCCAGTTGTCTCCGCAGCTTGACCTCAGCTCCATATTTCCCGGTGGTCCCGTTGTCAGCCAGGATGAAGTGGGAATGCATGCTGTTGAGAACAGTGAGCTTGCTCATGGGGTTGGACATGGTCTGATATGGCCGGACAACCTGCAGGATTTCAAAAGGAAGAGGTGGAAGTCAGAGAAAGAGTGAGCAAAATATGAAAAGGAGAACCAGCCAGAGAGGAAACAGAGAGAGAAGGATAAATCAGTTCTTTGGTACAGTGAAAACAGTTTATATCCTCTTCCTAACACCACTGTGGGTAGCAAATTTTATGGTCAAAGTTCCCCAGTCCCAACAAGATTATACTTAAGGAATAACATGTTTATATGCTGAGTTTGATACAGAAGCCAGAGTTTGTGCTCTCACCATACTCAAAAACTGGCATGTGAAGGATTGTGTCATTGTGAGGTCGATCTTTCATCTGCTGACAAACCCCAAGTAATTTTAACGTTTACTCATTTTGTTTTTTCTTTCTCTTCTCCATGATGTCCTTACTCCAACTGGCACAGCAGAGCCATCATGGTTCTGGAGTAGGGTTGGGTTGGGAGTGGGGGCCAGGCAGATCTTTTCAGTCAAGCCCATTCAGTCATCTGAAGGTCTGTTAATTCGAAAAATCAACCTTGTTCTTATTAGACACCTTATTTAAGTGGAAATACTGAATGTCAAATACGTGTCTCATGAAATGAGCGTGAATCAAAATATTCATCTCTGTCTTTGTTTGTTATTGTGTTATTTTCATTTCATGGTGAATTATACTATCCCAAACAGAGTAAGTCTTTCAGTTTTTTATATCAAAAGAAAAGCAAAATCTATTGTGAGTTTGGGTTGCTAGTTCTAGTTGCTTTATAGACATTACCTATATTCTTTGCAACAATCCTGCAAAGAGGGTGCTCTCATGTTTATCTCATAGATGGAGAAATGGCACTGGAGGTAAAATGGGTTTTTCAAGAGTTTCTTATGCACAAACCAGAACTGACATCTGGGTCTCATTCCAAAATCTGTGCTTGTTCCCCTGCCCACACTGCTTAGACATGATGGAAACAAGATAATGCTTTGGAAATCTACTCCTAAAATATTTAGGTAGAGACTCCACTCAAGACCATGAAAAGGAAAGCTCAACAAGCTCATTGTTACAAGGCCTGGTATGGTTATCCTTATACTGAATCATCAGAATTGACAGGACAGAAATACATGCTACTGGGTTTTTATTTCCGTGCCTTTGTGTGATGTGTACATTCATTATGGAGTTGAGACGCTCTCATTCATTTTCAGTATGTAATAACTCACTCATGAAAAGCTGTAGTAAGATTGAATAGTTTGCTAAAGAAATTACAAAGTGATTTAGTAAGGGCAGCCTTTAATAGTAGAGATCTCATAAAAGTCATTTTTTTTTTTTTAGATCTTGATTCTGATTTCAAAATCCATTTCTATGTGACTGGCACACAGAATCTACTCAATACATAGTGAATGAATGAACAGGAAAAATTGAGACAGGCATGTTTTTGTTTAAAATTTAAAAAAAAAAGGACCCTCTCTTTTCTGAATTGCTTGGGAGTTGATCTAATTTAAATTTAAAATGTGTAATTTTGAGCCTATGAAATAGCCTTCATTCCTTTTTCATGTATGTCTTATTTGTTAATGTAGCATTAATACAACATTAATTCATAGCCTCATTTTAGTTGACTCTTAGTGATAAAGGAAGCTCGTAACTTTCCGATTATTGTTTCCAGTAATGGATTGGATATTTTCCAGTAATGGAGCGGTATTCAATTACTGCTTTGTCTAGATGAGTGCACGAGAGTCCTCCAAAATACAGAGACAGCGGTTTGCTAACTCCATCCTGAGTTCTTTATCACTGGAAGAGTGGGTCGCCTGTGGCTGAAATTCTCATTTTGTTGTTACTCATTTTTGATTATAAAACATTCATTCTATAGCAAAGTGCAAGTTAATAAATATTAATGCCTTGCTGAAAGAAAAGAGGCTTAGCAGAAGGACTTTCTCCTATCCTTTAAGAGCCTCTGCATTGTGCTTTTGGACAAAAGAAAATGCTTTAGTTACTCTTCACTATTTTCTGAGCAGGTCCCCAAGTCTCCATGCCAAGGAGGAGGAAGACCCAAATTATTTCTTTGAGAGGCAGGGGACAGTGGATTTTCTAGAGGTTAAACAGTGTGTGATAGTGAATCCCAGACACTTGTTCTAGCTGAGACATGAAAACACACTTTTTAATTCCTGGGAACAGAGTTAAAGACCATCAGTGAACACAAAATTTTCAAATGAAGAAGGTTGTGAAAATAATTCTGGGCCAACTGACATACTTACCACAATCTGAGAATAACAGAACTGTATTAAATCATCTAACTAAATTCTCTATGTTTCCTCACCCACAGGATTCTAAGGACAGTGGGGCATCAGTCTTCTGAGTTTGGAACTTCTTTTCTTGTGAAACATGGTATACCAGCTCTTTGGAAATACTGTTCCTTTGAATCAGTCATGGCAAGTCAAGTTTACAGTAGCACACATGAATTTTAATTTCTTCATCTTACTGCTCCCCGTTTTGTTTGATCTCATATGAAGGTAAGTTAAAGGTGGTCATATTTTGGCAGAGATTTTGTCTGCTGTGTAATAGGGGATATACAACTGGAAAGTAAGTAAAATGCCCTAATTTATTTTGCTATCATCATTGGAGGAAGATTTCTGCCATATCCTTGAGAATCCTGGTCATACAAGCCATGGAAATCTGTCTGAATCCCATGAGTTCTGCCAGCTGCTGTATAAATCTGAGGCTCACATTTTTCATCTGTAAAAGGGAAGTGAGAACACCACTTAACTTCGCGGGTTAGATGAGATTATAGGTGCAAAGTACCGGGCACTTTGCCTGGTTCCTAGCAGGCAATCTATAAATGGGAATTCCTTCTCGGGCTTGGCTTTATTCTACCAACTACAAAGTGATTTTCCCACTGCAAGCTAGTGATCAAAATGATATGATGACAGACAAATCACAGACTTTTGTTTTCCACAAGAGACCTGAATCAATCTTTTTAAGTAAAGAAAAAAAAAATAGCAATCAGTTGGCAAAACACACCACGTGGCGTGTTTTTACTCCGTCACCTTCTCTCAGGCCATTTAAGAAGGCGAGGCTCTGGAATTATTGGTGGATTAGCTACAAAGTTGGAAAGAGCTCCCCGAGTGCTTCAAGAGGAATGCGTGTTGGTCTACTTGCCTACAAAATCCTCTTAATATTCTTCATAACAAACATACCAGCGGTCTATTCTTGTTTGAGTTACAATTTGCATATCTACAAAAGACTTGCTGATCTTCCTGTTGCTTCTCAAATCGGAAAAAAAAAGTCATGCCTTTGTGTCACATGAATACAAATGAATTCTTCCCTCTGACAAATTTTGGAGGTAATGCATCTACTTGCATTGTTAAGAGCTCATAAAAAAGCGCTTTTTTGGAAGTGTGTGTGTGCGTGTGTGTGTGTGTGTGTGTGCACGTGAGCCCACGGCAAGAACAAGTGTGACACGTTCTGGACTTGTAGACATGTTAGATGGCTCTAACACATCTCTCAGTCACTGTTTTCTGAGAGCATCAAATCCTAATGCCATACATAATGGATGACTCCCCTAAGAATAAAAGATGGTCCAGCTTATGTACTATCTTTGAGGGAATTAAGAAGAGAATCACTCAAATCATTTTCCGTGTTCATATTTCAGATGTGGAATCTGGGTTGATGAAGGCTGAATGGCATCTGAAAGGCCTTCATTATTGGTACATACAGAATTATATATACCTAGATGGGAAATTTGCTTAGAAGTGGATTTTAGATACTTTGTACTCTTTGGGTATCATGGGCTAGTATACCTCTAAGTAATAACATTTTTGCCCCTTTCTTGTCCCTCAAGGCGAGATGGAAGAATTCTGCACTCTTTAATACATCTACACCACTTTGTACTGGCTGACTGGTAAAATCCTGGTTCCAAGGCCTCTGTATATCTTGACTCTGAAACAAAGAGGTAATGAAGTTGAAATTAATGTTTAAAAAACTAATGAAGGTGGGGGCACCTGGATGGATCTGTCAGGTAAGCAGTTGACTCTTGGTTTTGGCTCAGGTCATGATCTCAGGGGTTGGGGGATCAAGCCCCAAGTTGGGCTCTGCAATCAGTAGGGAGTCTGCTTCTCTCCCTCTCCCTCTGCCCCCCACCCACTCTCTCTCTAAAATAAATAAATAAAAATCTTTTAAAAAAAGAGAGAAATTAATGAAGGTGAAAGCTCTTGATGTATTTTTAGGGTCATTATTGTTGCCGGGAGGGGACGATCCAGAGACACCATGGAAAATCTGAACATTTTTTATGAGCTGGTGTCAGTTTGATACATTTCTTACCCACAGGGGTACTTCAGTGGATCATTTGGGAGCTGATCTAAGATACCTGCTTGAGTTTTTCTAGCTACTTTCACACATGTTCTGGTCTCATTCAGGAGTACTTAGTGGACAGTCAGGAGATGGGGGGGGCATTCTAGTTCCTCCAGCTACTCATTTGTGACTTTGGGCAAGTCTTTCAACTCATTCTTTTCTTCCTCTATTCATACATTAAGAATGCCTTGAGGAAATGTTCTTGGTAAGTACTATGCTGGCTTGAGGAGACATACAACTTTGCACCTAGGTAATGTCTTTCACTGAATGTTCAAATTACATTGAAACTACTTGTCTGTAGTTTCTAAGGGCTTTCTACCTCTAAGATTGAGTCTGAACAGCCTGTGTTGAAAAGTACATTTGCTTCTTCCAAGGTAGCACAGAAAAAGGACACAGAGGTGGGTCACTCCTGTCCTGGGGTCTCCTTCCCCTTTCTAGTGCTTTCTACCATGCAAGGGCAGTTGGCTCATCTGAAACTCCTTTCCTGAGCAGAATTGAATTGAGCTCAACTGGGTTCTTGAGTCACCCATTGCAGCCTTTGGCAATCCCTGAATTTATGACCCAGTGAGGTACGTATCAACATGCTCATGGTAAATAACAGGCAGGCAGGATACCGAAGCATTTGTTCCCTCATAACAGCACTATGATTTTAATTTAGGCAGGAAGAAAGTGAGGATTTACTGATCACTTATTC